TTTCTAGTTTGCAATAATTGATATGAATAAAATTTAAAATCGTATTTATGAAAATCTATAAATTTTAAAATTTAATTTGCGACAGGTTACAGCCGTAGTTTGGTAACGCATGCAGCGGCCCCGTCAACTAGTTAGCACGCGGCCCATCGGGAATTTCCCGATTTCCCGATGGCCCAATCCGTCCCTGTCTAAATATATCTTAAATCGTGGTAGTGAGTACTGAAGTGGCAAACTGCGTGCTCGATGGTGACACAAAAAATTGTTTCCTTTGAATATCCATTCGTGATAACGTAATGTTTATCCTTAGATCATATACCGTATAATACCGTTTATATAATTGCTGGTTAACGATGCGGGAATTCGGATTTGTGCTAACTTTTATAGGTTGGCAAGAGCCTTTTTTTTCGTTCTTATCAGGTTCGATGTTATCAGTTGTTATCAAAATCGGGAAAACTGTACCCGTCCCCCACGGATAATAGATATATATATATATATATATCTATTATCCGTGCCCGTCCCCTAAGTGTTTATCAATTGTTATCAATTCTTATAAGCTGATGACCGAACCAGTGGTATTTATCACTAAGTAATGGTATAACCTTAAAAACAGTGTTTTGTTGTTACTTGTTATTAATTGTTAGGGAATAGCGATTAGCGATCTACGTACCGTCAACTACTAGCTACTTTTCTTCTTTTTTTATATAAACACTTAACACATCGTCCTCGTTCATACTTTATCCGTATACATCGAAATTAAGGTAAGACTAAAAATTGATTTAAATATTGAATCGTAATCTCTATTTACTGTTTTAATATATTTTCGGTGAATATTTACGTTATTCATATATCAACCATTTTATGTTGCAGTCACTTTCAGTTTTTAGTATTTTTGAAATTTGCGTTTATAGATATTTAAAAATTTTGTGACAGATTCTGAACAATGGCTCCGCGTTATGAGCTAGCGGTTGGTTTAAAACGTGGTCACAAGACCACAAAAATCGAAAGGGTCGGTAAAGTCAGTGGTAAAGAACTGTCAGCCAAAAGTGAAAAGCTCAGACAAGCCCGCACTAAAGGCGTGAGTAACAGTACTACATATTATTCTGTATATTAAAATAAGTCACTTTTTTTCTTTTTACCTTCCTGGTTAGTTTAACAAGTATGTGCTTAAGTTCACTTAATCAATATTTATTCACTATTGAGTTCGAAAAATATAGCGAGAGCAGAAACTTGGTGATTTAAACAATGATGTTTTTTCTAAAAAAAAATGCAATTAATATCTACTGCTTTAAATAATGAAACTACCTAATATCTTGCTGATATAGTAGTCACTTTAAGTCGAAGGAGGATTTGATTAGAGATATCTAACTTATAAATAGGGGATTAATTTTCTAGGAGAATAAAAACAAAAATAAGAATTGTCAAGTTTTTTGAATTATCACAACTTGACTGTATTTTACTAATCTTTACTCTAGTCTTATTAAATTTGAATCTTAATTGAAGATTCAATATAAGTTAGAAATTTCTAACAAATTATCCTGTTTTAGATAAATTTGTATTATACAATACATTTAATGCTTTATTATCATTATTCTATAATAAAATGCAAAAAATAAAAATAAAACTAAGCAATTACTCTTGTTATTATCTATATATCTAGTTCCATGCTTGCACATGTTAAAAATTAGATAGGTAGGTAGTGAACTGATAGAAGTGTATAAATATTAATTTGGGTTATTGGAGGGTAAATGGCGTATACCCTACCACTAGTTTACTGATTTAGCGTATACCCTGTAAAATTACTAGAGATACGCAGGTACCCATGGGGATACCCATGTATACCTTTAAAAAATTGTTATTGAATACCGATATTATCTTATTGTTATAATTGTTAGAAAAAATGTATAAGATCAATTTTTTTACTACATACAATGCAAACAGAACTAAATTTTGTGATAAAAAGTAAGGTCTAACTCCATCTTATCCTATTGCATGGCGTAAATATGTCTAATAACCTTTTTTTTGGGGGCGAAGACGAGGTGGTAAACCCCACGACCCACCATAAATTAATTTTAGGCTTGGTGAGAAATTTTTTTTTTTTGAGAGAGAGGGGATTAAGCTCCCCACCTCTCTCCCCTCAATATATGTTTAAGTGCTGAGCGTATACACTAGAAAAAAATTACAAATACATCACTGGTTATTGGAATATGAATGATTGATGTTTGAAATAAATCTGTAATCATTAGTCTATGCAGAAAGAATCTTAAATTAATTTAAGTTATTTGTATTTACTTACACTTTGAATTTCAAGGCATAATTAATAGCTACTAGTCTTAGATGAGTAATTACTTAATTAATCTTTCCCTTAAGACAAGATAATCATTTCATCAAATTTTAACATGGGTAATAAAATAAATACTATGTTGTCCTATAAACTTCCTATAACCAAGGTAGAATGTAATTTAATTTCTATAACTATGACCCTGCCTTATATTATATTTATTTATATTTAAGCTATATTTTGCTCTCTATGCTCTTATGTCTTATAGCGTTTGACTAAGCACAACAAGTTTATCAGGGATGTTGTAAGGGAAGTTATGGGTCATGCACCATTTGAAAAGAGAGCCATGGAATTGTTGAAGGTATCCAAAGACAAGCGTGCATTGAAATTCTTGAAACGACGAGTAAGCATACATTTCATCTATTTACTGTTCTGATTTTTTTTTCAACTTACTGAAAATAATACACATATTTTTTTTATTTTTAGTTGGGAACACACATTCGTGCCAAGAGGAAGCGTGAAGAACTTAGCAACATTTTATTGCAAATGAGAAAGGCACAAGCTACTCACACAAAATAATTTCAAAGCTTTTTAATGTCTTTATTTGATTTGTAATAAAAATGTTGACTGCTAAGAATTCTGCATTTTCCTTGAATTTATAATTGATATTGTTTTTAATCTTATTAAATAATAATATTAATAACATTTGCATAAGATTGGTTAATCATAAATCAAAAAATCTCAACAAAAAAATGTTTCTATAAATATAATCTAAATTCTAAAGTTGAACAAGTATACTATTCTGAATCGAGATACTCAACTTCTCTCCATAAATTTATTGAAAAATAATTGAAACTTATAAATGTCCTTTAATAATAACAATAAAAGGGATGTAGCATGTAGATGATTGAAATTCATGAATTATAGTTATTTCTTTTAGTGTTGTAACCATTTTTGGCATACCGTGAAATTTAATAATACGTGATATTAGAGGGCCCCATTATGAAGGGGGAGGCCCAACGGTAAATGCTTGGTAGGCCTATCCTAACCTAACCTAACCGCCCATGGTTGTAACCACATGATTACTACTATTTTTGCCAGTCTTACTAAGATTGATGGTAGACATATTTTTAGTTAAATTTTTACAATAAACTGAGCATTGATATTTCAAAACATTTGTAAAAGTACCTATATTAACATCTACCATCCAATAGGTTGATGTTTGGATGAAGTATTTAAAATGAGAATTTTGTTTTAATCTTAATATATTATTAAATAAAAAAACACGAAACAAAAATATTTTTAAAAAAATGTTGACATTTAATTTTTAAATAATACAAAACTATAAAAATACAAAAATAAGTTAAATTATGAATAGTTAGTAATACATAAATAGTTTCACAGCATAGAATTTAATTAATTCTTATAGATATATAATTTTAAATCTAGTACTAAAAATAATGTTTAAAATACTGAAATATCACAATTGATAAAAAAAATTCATACCGAATAATTACAAACAATTACTCATTTAACTTATATAATAATTTGATGATCACATAATTTACCATTTTAATATTATTGCTACAAATAATTTGAAATTGCAATTAAATACCATCTAATGTAAAAACCAAAATCATCTATAGTTATGCTTAATAATAGTTGGACCAGCTACAAATCTGAATATGCKCAATCATAGTTGACTTAGTAAAATGATATAAATATATTTGATTATAATATTTTAAAAAGCTATCTACTTTGTATATATTTATATATTCGTTATATATTATTAAATAAAATAAATAATAGCATAGATTAAATATGAAGTATATTTAATCTATGGTATAAGTGACTAAAATATTAAAGAATTTTCTCTAACATTCTTAAATACAGGCAAATTTGTTAAAATAATATATAAATTTATAAATATTATGTTATATATCAGAGTTGTTAATCAGCAGATTACTAGTGTCCAAAGCAGAATCTGGGACCTGGAATGTAGATCCTTGAAACCCAAGTGAAGCTTCAAACAACTACAAATAATATAACATTTAAAATAAAAGAAGATTAGGCAATCAATATAAAAATAAAATATTTGATCCTAATAAAAAAAAGATTTAACAATGCGTTATAAAAAAACACTGTAATGACCATTAAAATTAAATCAATTAGTCCAATAATTTAATAACTTAAATTTTATTTTTTTAAAAGCTCAGTAGTGGTCAGTGGTCACAGGACATAATAACAAGTATCATGTATTGTACGTCTGTACTAGGTAGAATCACAGAACTTTTAAAAATAAGTATTGACCATAAATTTATATAAATAGTAAATACAGTGAGATTTCCATATAACAAACTTCTTTTAACGAATTATTTTTGAGAACCATGACCTTCATTGATTTTCATGCGTAAATTCAATTTAACGAATTCCTCTATATCAAAGGTATTCAAACTTTTTTATCCCCAGCTCATTTGTATGTTTACAATATTTTGACAACTCCACAATTATTAAGACAATATATAGATACAATATAGCAAATATGGGTGATAATAACAGTGACTTTAGTACTAGAAATAAAACTTCAAATGGTCGCATGTATTTTGTTATCTTTTCCATAATGAGTAATGACTATAAATAATATTTATATTAATATAACAAGACCTACATTAATGTCGGTTTTTGGCGYTTTGAYGCGACTCCCTTCGCCAACACTCGAGACACCCTTGCGAGCTATGACACACACACAGTTTGAATACCTCTGCTCTATACAACAATTTTTTTTTTTGTTTCCTATAAGACTTCGTTTAATGTAAGTTTTACTGATGAATTATATATTCCAATAAAATCCGGGTAATAAAATAATTTAGATGTTACTGCCRCTTAATTAATAACTTTTGAACTGATTGGTTGATTTTAAGTTTAAGTATATTAATGTATTACAATGGATTTTCTTTACTGTCCATTTAAATTTTTAAATGTAGAGTTTAAGCTTAACTATTTAAAATTAAATATAAAAGTAAAAATATATTTTTTTGGCTTTTATAAAAAATTGTGTAAATGAGGAACACAGCTATTTGTCTGTTTGTGTCAATAATGGAATAGTGTTATATTAGAAGTTTTATTGTAAGATATTAACTAAAACTTGGGTCTCCTTCACACAACTCATTAATGACTGGTGAGGTTTCTCGAATATTTTTCTATTAAATTATTGCATAAAGAACAAATTTAGCCAAACAACAWAAGAGGAGAAGAACAATGGGTACAAATCAAATACATCATTATACCATCACTGATTGGACATTTTTGATATTGCCCATTGTTCGGAGAAAAATACTGAAAGATTAAAAAAAAATTAGGAGTATAATGTGWATAGTAAATATTACGAAGGGAACACCAGGACCTCGGGACATGGTCTACTAGGACCTGAACTTGGTTAACAGGTCATTTAGAAACACTGTATATTATCAAGTATTAAATTACACTAATTGTATTAAACTCTATGAGTTGACAACTTTAAAAAATCAGGACATCAGAAAACCATCATAAATCTTCATAAGAATCAAACCAGTTAGATAAACTTAATGAAGTAAAAAGAAGCCATTATTTGTTTATTGTGTGATATAAGTGAACTGTCAAACACATAATAAACAAATACTTATTATTCTACAATTCTACATCTTATACCCTAAAAATAATGAGAAAAATATTGTGAACCAATCTATTTGAATTAGATTAGACTATCCTAATTTGATGAAAACCTTACCATCCACAATGAAACCAGATTAAATTAAGTATTTATTATTTAATAATAATATTTGAATATATTACTTGTTGACTATGAGAAGTGCCCCCATCGGGGGGTAATGGTAAGACAGATCCTCCTAAAGTGGCATATTCACCAGGTGTCATCGTCAGTAAAGTATTTATGGAGCCACGACGAGAAGGACGCCGTATTGTTGCATAAGTATTATCTCCCTGAAAAATTTAAAGTAATTAATAAAATTGTTGAATAACAAAAAAGCATTAAGTACCACAATATTATCTTGGCTTATTGGAATTTCTTTATTTTCTAGATCACAAAAAACTTGCATAGTTAATTCTTGTTCTTCATATAACTTTAATTTTCTGAAAACATAACAATAAAGTTTATACTCATTAGACATTAATTTTAGATACTGAGCTGAGGTTTCACAATCATATTTTTATATCTGTAACAATTTTTGGGGTAAAAACATATCAAACAATTGTATTCAGTACATCTAAAATATTAATCGAACACCAGTACTAGGCAAATGTTATTTAGATTTAGTACACTCTAATAAATGAAGGAAATAATATTTTTAACAATATCATAAATAATTTATGTTACTCAGAAATTTGTCGTCTCAGTCTAAATAAGTTAACATTCCAAATTTATGCTCAGATCGTTTTGAATCGTTTTGATTCAAAGATTAGAATGAATAATTAATCTAATAAYAAACTTGATGTCTTGATGATAAGAACATTATCTGTTTATATGCATATTTTTTTTAATAGTAAATTTTTTTTAGCAAGTTTTGSGTATATAATGTAGCATAAATTAAAAATATTCATAACTCACTTAACTACTAAATTATCATAAAACAAATAACATATAAATACGGAGTGTTCTTACCATCAAATTTTACAATAAGTCGATTCACCTTAATTTTTAAATTAAGTTAAACATGATCTTCTGCGTATACATTTGATATGTTAAGCACTTATAAGATGGAAAAAACAGATGATTGAATAGTATCTTATTATGAAAAGAAAATTGTATTAAATAACTTGTAATTGTAATACTTTATCATTGCTTTCAAGTTTGATGTACACATATCAAATTTCTGTATTTCTCTAATTTAGTTATAATATTTAATTTAAAATATGTATTATAATTATTAATTAATAATAMATTTTTTCTTACTGTTCAATCCAAAGAGGATTTTCTGTAGTACTGAGATCATCAATCACAGCTTTTTTTATCAATATATCATTCTTTATTGAATTATTGTCCAAATCCGAAAACATCCTGATGAAAAATATGTGTATATAATTAAAATTAGTTATTATAGTGATATATTTAATGTCATTGAATCATTTTTTTTAAATTAATTTACCAATGTCTGAAGCAGCAACAAATGATTAACACACCAATACATCCAACAGTCAATACAACTAATAAAGCTACCAGAGCCGCTATAGTAGGTTCAAAAGATTCATTTTGAGTAACAACCAAAGCGGGCTAAAATAAAATATAATTTCATAATTATTATATTGCAATGAAAGGTTTAAGATTATCAAGACTTTTTAAGAATTTTAACTTCAGATTTCAATTAATCACTCCTATTTTAAGATAAGATTTATATAGTAATTACAAATTATTAATAAATATAATTTAATTTAATAATTATTTAAAAATAAATTAATTAAGAGATAAAAAGTAATTTCAAAATTTATATACTCAAATAGTTTTAATTTTATTTAAACCAGTTATTAATCTATTGCAATACATACCACAACATTTTCAATAGAAAAATTATGATAATAGTCTTTCAAATAGTCATATTTATCATCAATTATAGTTAGAACTTCCCAACTAGATATTATATCATT